AGTTGTACAATTTTCAATTTTTCACTAAATGAAATATGTGTCCTGGTAGAAAAATTATGTTGTTTACATATGTAATTAAATACCCCTTCTTTAGTAAGAGAGGCACCTATTTTAGAAAAAAATATTTCAATTTTGGAAAGAAATTAAAACATCATTTTTTGTGTTAAATTAATCCTTAAGTTGTATTGATAAGTGATATCAATATTATAAATAAAAAAAAAAAAATCATTTCATAATCATTTAATTTCACTACAAAATGTCGCGAATTTAAAGCTTTGAAAATTGTCGTCACGCGCTAAATCCCCCATGGGAATTTTCAAAAGTTGGCATGTATGTTGTTGAGAAGAGGATGAAAATGTGAAAAGTTTAAGACGACAACAACGACAACGCCAACAGACAAATTTTGATCAGAAAAGCTCACTTGAGCCTTCGGCTCAGGTGAGCTAACAACATGATCTTGATCATTTTATACCACAGCGTTTTAGCAAACTGACAAAACTGAATTTGAATTTTTTTTAGGGATTAAACAAGCATGAAATTGAGACAGATCATAACGAAAACTAACTTCTAAATTCTAAACAAGTGTATCTCTTATTTTCTTAGTAGCAAAATGTGACACGTATTTTGGACTAAAAATCTGTACAAAATATGGCAAAATCGTAAGAGTAACAAGGTCTGCTGAACTATGTACTTAATTGGTTAGTTTATTTAATGCCCAGGAGCAGAGAAGAAGATTTTCAAAGAAATAATGCATTTTCACTATATAACCTATTTAGTCCTGCCCTAGCACTAGAACCCTTGACCACAGGACCATGAATTTCACAATTTTGGTAGAGGACTCAACGCTGATTACAATCATGCAATTTGACTGCTTGATGTCCAGGAGTGGAGAAGAAGATCTTTAAAGATTGCATTTATATTTTAGTGGTTTTGGCCCCAATTTCAGGCTCCAGGAGGGCAGGGACCATGGAATTCACAATTTTTGTTCCCTTCATCTATAAATGATTAATATCAAAATTGTTAGAAAATTGGTTGAGCGGTTGCAGGGAAGAAGCTGAAAACGTTCAAATGTTAACACACGACGAACGATGCAAAACACACAACCAAAGTGCAAACAGATAGCAATAAATAAATAAACAAATATGTTCAGGTGACCTGAAAAAGTCAGTAAACCAAGAAATTAACAAGAGGCCCACGGGCCTTATAGGTCACCTGAGTATTGTGCAACAACTTTCAAACAATTAAAATTGGTTGGTGTTTTAAACCCGAGGCCATGAAATTCGCAATTCACAATTTTGAAAGAGGCACCATTGCTTATCATAATTATAGACTTAGCATGCTTACTCTATTTACTTAAGTAACAAAGAGAAAATGCACTTCCACATTATTACCAGTTGTGCACATCATCCCAATGGAAGCACTGACCTTAGGGCCACATATTTCAAATTTTTGCAAATTTTATCATAAAATGGTTGATTATTACCAAAGAGCAGATTTTAAAGCATTAATTTATTTTCAGACTATGTGCCCCCCCCCTTGACCCAGGAGGGGGGGGGGGATAAAAAATAACCATTTTGCTAGATGCACCTTAATTTCTTCATCATAAATATATATTCTTGGATCATTGGCACAAAAACCAGGAGCAAAGGAAAGATTTTCAAAGAATTAATGTATTTTAACTATGACCAATAGAGCCCCGCCCTAACACCAGAACCCCTGACCCTGGGGCCATAAAATTCACTATTTTGGAAGAGGCAATCTCGCTCAACATAACTATGTACTTACATAGTTTATTTAATACCCTGGATAGGAGAAGAAGGTTTTCAAAGAATTAATGCATTTTCACTATGTAATCAATAGAGCCCCGCACTAACACCAGAACCCCTGACCCTTGGGCCACAAAATTCACAATTTTGGAAGAGGCACTCTTGCTCATCATAACTATGTACTTAGTTTCATACCATGTTTTTGCCATTGTAAGACCAGAGGGAAGCCTTTGTCTCATTAAAAAGAAATCTTGGGATTGTAATTACAAGAGGCCCATGGGCCACATCGCTCATCCGAGCATTGTGGCTAGGAAAAAGTAGAAATTGGTTTACTATTGAAAAGTTTAAATTCAAAAGTTTAGCCCCGCCATACCCCAGGGGGTCATGATTTAAACAAACTTGAATCTACACTACCTGAGGATGCTTCCATATAAATATGATGAATTATGGCTTGGTCATTCTTAAGAAGAAGATTTTTAAAGAATTTTCCTATATATTTCTATGTAAAACTTTGGTCGGCCATTTTGGCCCCACCCTACCCCCAGGGGTCATGATTTGAACAAACTTGAATCTACACTACCTGAGGATGCTTCCATATAAATATGATGAATTATATATGGCTTGGTCATTCTTGAGAAGAAGATTTTTAAAGAATTTTCCTATATATTTCTATGTAAAACTTTGGTCGGCCATTTTGGCCCCGCCCTACCCCCGGGGGACATGATTTGAACAAACTTAAATCTACACTACCTGAGGATGTTTCCCCATAAGTTTCATCTTTCCTGGCACAGTGGTTCTTGAGAAGAAGATTTTTAAAACATACCACCAAATTTTCACTAATTCTCAATTATCTCCCCTTGAATGAGGGCGTGGCCCTTCATTTGAACAAACTTGAATCCCATTCACCCAAGGATGCTTTGTGGCAAGTTTGGTTGAAATTGGCCAAGCGGTTCTTGAGAAGAAGTTGAAAATGTGAAAAGTTTACAGACAGACGGATAGACGGACGCCGGACAAAATGTGATCAGAAAAGCCTTCGGCTCAGGTGAGCTAAAAAAGGCAGACAAAAGCAACACGGTTGTTGTATTGGACAGAGATCAATATATCTCAGAAGGCATGAGACAACTCGATTCTGCCTATTAAGTCCAAGTAGAAAACCCTGATTTAGAAGCTCTACATCAGAGCATCCAGTCTCAAGTTTTTTAGATGTATCAAAACCAAACTTTAGACGAGGAAACTTATCGGTTTTTAAGCACAAATAAAAATGTCAACTTGAAATGCGGGAGTCTGTATTTGCTCCCTAAAATACATAAAATAAATAAACAAGTGCTTGATGCACTTTTAAAAGGCCAGTGCAGCCTCCGAAAACTTCCACCTGGTCGGCCAATTATCTCTCAATGCGGCACACCAACGGAAAATATAGATCACTACTGTGATCATTTCCGGTGCCCATTGTTCAGAAACAAAATTCATACATCAAAGACATGTCGGACTTTATACAAAAAACCCAATCTTTGATTGTACCTGAAAATGTCATCCTACTTACTTATGATGTGACCAGCATGTACACCAACATGGAATTTGATGAATTGCTACAATCTGTCCGAGAAAGCATATTTAACAGACAATTCTAATCTCAAATTACCTCTACCCTGCTGTTCTGATCTTATCTTTTTTCTCAGATGTATACTTGAAAATAATTTTTTCGAGTTCAACGGACGATACTACAAACAAATCATAGGCGCGGCGATGGGGGCACGCCCGTCACCAGAAATTACAGATATACGTATGAAAGACATCACTGATGATGTAATATCAAAATTTCAACATGCCGACAAACTTATTTATCACGGCAGATTTAGAGATGACTGCTTCATCCTTTTTAACGGAAGTCCGGATGATATTAAAGAATTTTTTGACGTAGGGAACTCTTGTCATAAATATTTGAGATTCACTTATGAAATATCTCACTCAAGTGTCAATTTCTTGGACACTACTATTTACAAAGGTACAAGATTCTTAGATAGCCAGCGATTAGACATTCGCTCGTATATCAAACCTATTAACAGCTTCCAATACTTGCACAGGCAAAGTGCTCATAGCCCATCAGTTTTCAAGGACCTAATTAAAGGAGAATGTACCAGACATCTGAGAAATACTAGTGATCAAGCTGTACTGGAAGTTATCTTTAGAGATTTCAAAACTCATCTAGAAAAAAGAGGTTATATACATTCAGAAATTGAACCTATTATGCAAGAAACTATTTCTACAAATAGAATGGACCTTCTTAAAAAATCAAAGAAGAAAAACAACAAAAAGGCTGTACCCAACATTTTGGTCACCAAGTTTAACCCATGTATAAAGGGATTAAGGAAACGACTTATGAAATATTGGAGTTATATACTTGATGATGATGTATGCAAAGTATTATTCACAACATCCCCTATGGTGGCATACAGCAAACACAAGAATATAGGCGATCTTATCATTAGATCCAAATTAAAATCAAATGAAGTTCAAAGAAATTGATTGATTTAAGCATACGGTAGACCCCTGATGATGGCAGGCCGTATCACAATTATAAAATGACATGTGCTATTAATACTGCCGAAACACTCTTAATTAATTTAACAAATGAGCAACTGACCAAATGCTTCATTAAGAGTGTCGGGTTCTAATAAGTTTAAGACATGTCTGGATGTTAAGATGCCGTCGTTTTTTTGCACTATGTGTCCTTACCATGGCAACACCGTTCATCAAAATGAAAAACTGATATACTGAATTATGTATCTAAGTGTAGTCTACTTGTGTGCCAAGTTATACTGAAATCAGACCAAATAAACTGTAGGAGGAGTAGTATTTTAAAGTATTTCAAAGAAATTTCTATTTTTAGTAACCAGCAACACCCTTCAGTGAAATCAAAAAAAGTATATAAAAATTTAATTATTTTAGTATGTCTACTTGTGTGCCAAGTTATATTGAAATCAGACCAAAACTAGTAGTAGTAGCATTTTGAATAATTGTTTACAGACAGACAGATGGACAACGGATGCATTACTATCACATACGCTCTTCTGTTCTCTGACCAGTAGAGCTAAAAATTAACATGAGGGGGGACTTGAACTTTAAACTAACTTATGATGCTTCCATATCAATATATGCTCAGTAACTATGCTATACCCTATCTAGTTGTGTGAGGGGGTGAAAATAAAGCACTTTAAATTTTAATATACATACCCCACTTGTAATCAATTGTTGAAGCGTCCATTGTCATTACTGGTTACCCTTTTACCTATGTACGTAAAAGGCCCACATCATGAGCAGGGTAATTGTTAAACTGCAAAAGATAAAAAACAGATTAAGCTATAAAACTTTATTTAGCTATGTAGGCTAGCTTTATCAAGCTTCTAGGAATACTGTAGATGTACTAATTTCCATGGGTTCATAATTCTGCAGAATCTCTATTTCTGTTCAATCTGTTAGCTAAGTAGAAAATTATGCAGATAAGACTCTCATTATATACTTTATATGTGTATTAAGTTTGATGGGAAAAATTTCCGCAGAAAATTTGTGACCCCATAGATAGAATAAATTAATACCACGTGGAAAAATGTACTTCTATAGTAGCTTGTTTAAGCTATTTTATCACACTTTTATCTCAATTAATTTTGTGGTGATGAGCCAGGTTCAATCACAGGTGGCGAGATAGCTCAGTTGGTAGAGCGCCTGACTATTTCAGGGGACCCGGGTTCAAATCTCAGTCTCGTCTGCTGCATTTTTCTTCTCTTCCATTACATTTGGTGCCATGACATACTTTGAAACTGACAGGTGAGAGATCTGCCAGTAATGAACCTGGGTTGGGTGGGAATTAGATGGTCAGTCCGATTCAATAGCAGAATAAGCCAGTGGCGAGATAGCTCAGTCAGTAGAACATAGTATTGTTATGATAATCACTGATGGCAATTGAAAAATTATCGCCAAGGAAAGAATGTCAGCAAAAGTCACTAGAAAATATTTAAATTGACAATTGCTAATTTTTTTTTTTCAAAATGAATTTTTAAACAAAATGATTTATCTTTGAACTTATATTATCAAAAGACGTTCCTCTATTTCTTAAAATGGGACCCACAAATTGTAGCTGAGTGGAAAAATCTGTGTTTGATCAATCAGCTGATTCAATTTTTACCATGAATAACAATTGTAACATTATTTGGGATATAAAATATTTCAACTTAAACATTCACCACACAAAGAATAATCATTACAGTCAAGCTTTTGATGCCTAATGCAAATGCCACCATGATACAAAAACAATCAAAACATTTTTTTAATTCATGAGAATGTGCCAAAAATAAAATCATACTGTCAATCAATTAAATAAAAAATGATAACAAGAGGCCCAGGGGCCACATCACTCACCTGATCACATCGGCTAGAGGAAAAAGCACATATCAGATCAGAACTGAAAGTTTACTGACGAGGGTGTGTGTGTGTGTGTGTGAGGGTGTGTGTGTGTGTGGTGGGGGGGGGGGGGGGAAGGATGCTTACACTCCAATATGACTTAACACAGCTTTTCTGTAAAACTTTGACCCATCATTCCCCTTTACGACCCCATCCTATCCTTGGGGGTTATGATTTGAACAAATTTAATTCTACACTAACTGAGAATGCTTCCATATAGATACTAGTATCACTAATCATGGCTTTGCTATTCTTGAGAAGAATATTTTTCAAGTATTTTTTTAAATGTAAAATTTGGAATGTAATGTTTGCTGAAATTGGCCCAGTGGTTCTTGAGAAGATGAAAATGTGGAAACTTTACTACAACAACAATGACAGACAACGGACAACACCCTACCCCAGGGGGTCATGATTTGTACAAACTTGAATCTTCGCTACCTGAGGATGATTCCACGAGTTTCATCTTTCCAGGCCCAGTGGTTCTGGAGAGGAAGATTTTTCAAGATTTTTCCTATGTATTCCTATGTTGAACTATGATACCCCATTGTGGCACCACGCTAGCCCGGGGGTCATGATTTGAAAAAAACTTGTCTGAATCTTTGCTACCTGAGGATGATTCCACATGAGTTTCACCTTTCCTGCCCAGTGGTTCTGGACACAGGTACGATAAGGCTTCCCAGAGAATATTGTTGTGTACTCTGTGCATGCACTTCTCTGAACTACATATGTATGACGTCATAATTGAAAATGACGTCAAGTCACTGCATACTTGAGCTGTAAAGATGGGGAGAGTGTCATAAACTTTACGCCTTATTTCAATCTGCATATAAAGATGCAGAATGCTAGTTTAAGATAAACATGTTTTTATATCATTTTTTCAAAAATTTAATATAACTGAATAATTTAGATAATTTTGCTTTATTACTCTTGTTTAAGAGTCAGCGTGTTCAAACTACGTACGAAAATATATGTTTGACATTTACCCTTTTATAAACCTGTGGACAGAGACAAAATTCATAATATGTGTATAAAAGAGCCTGGCGCAGGTGATTAATGAGGATTTATTTAATATCTTTTGTGGAAATACCTCAGAGGAGTTTCCCCTCTAACTGAATCCTGCTTGGGAAAAATGTATGATGGCTTTATTTTAAAACAGATGATGATATTCTGCGGAAATTACCCTCAGATCTGTTGATAAGTTGAAGTTATAAAATTGTACCAAAGAAATAGTATAACTTTTCACAAGCACATTTCGGGTTCACAAGGATCCAACGAGTTTAGTGACCAAAAGTTAAGGCCATACCAATTTCTAATATAGTTCGTCAGATTCGCCGCTTCTATTTTCAACAAATCCAAATTATAATATTATAAAAATAAAATCCGCGCGCGTCCAAAAATATCCGAATACAATTTTTTTCTCAACTTTTTACACAAAACACATAAAAGACTTGGAAATTTGTATGACAGAAGCGCAGGATTTAGTTATTTTTGTTCTTTGTAGCAGTTTGTAAAGTTTTGCAAGATACCTGTGTAACTGTTTGTATGTACCAGGGGTGAGCAATTTAGCATCTCCCAACGTCGGGCCTACCATTTTTGGGGGTCGGGCTAGTTGTTTTCTGCAAGGAGGTAGCCCGTCGGGCTAGTAAAAAATATAACTACACACGCAATACAAGTATGACAAGCAGTGAAGCACAATCGGTATTTTCACTCGTTTTTTTGTTATAAAATTCCCAACCAGTTAAAATTTTCCAGACCACATGCTCCTTCTGTCAATAAATCTCCATAATCTTGTCTGTTTTGCAGTTCTATCTGACTTATTTACTTCCAAAAACGATCGTTTTTCCTAATCCGAATTTCCTCTATTCCTCCATTTATGGTCAAAACCATAACAGATACCAGATATCTCATTAAACTATTTACGATCACCCAATCAAATGAAAAATAAGTGTTTTGTTACTCTAATAGAATATATTGCCAGTGTATTTCATGATTTATGATGAAAACAAAATGAATTTCATTAATATTGTAAATGATGAAATGAGCTAGTGCAATGATCAGAAAAAGGGAAGATAATTTATTTAAATTAATTTTAAATTTTTTTTCTATAAAAATTTATGCATGATTAATATTGATAGAACTTTTAACTTTAATTTTAAAAAGAATGACCTCAGTACCCTGACTTTTTCAGCAATTAATTTCTTCTGAACGTGTATTTATTTTAATTTTTGCCCCTCTATTTGGGCTAGTAACTTTTTACTTCAATACTTCGGGCTAGTAACTTGAAAGCTGCCACTAGCTGGCCGTGGGAAAGCACTTGGTTTTTTTTTCCCAATTGCTCACCCCTGTGTACTATAGTTAAAAACACTGCGTACAAAGTAGTTCCATACCCAGCAATAGAAATGGAATCAGAGGAGATGTTTGAAGCTTTGTTTTATGAAACAATAAAGAAAACATCATCAACATATGAAAAACACAGTGCACGCAAGGTTAAGTAAATATTGACGATATTTGTTCAATTAGAATTAAAGAAAATTCAAAAAGCGATGCAATTGTGATTTCAAAACCTAACATGACCTTAACAATTTGCAAAAAAGTAAACAAAGAATTTGTAGAAATGAAACTACATGTATGTCAAAATTGCAATGTTACGAGAAACAAAAGAAAGACACGTTTTCGTGTCTTGTGAGTGCATCGAAAATGTATTCTTGTCCAGAAAAAATAATAGAAAGAAGAGAAGAACTTAGAAATTTTTGCCACTAATATTAATTATATTTGCTCGCCTCATAATTTTGAAACCTGAAATGAAAAATATTTGTAAAATATTTTCGCTCGCTCGCCTCACTTTTTACTTTTGAAAATTCGGAGAACTATATTACAAATTGGTGTGGCCTAATAATAATTGTGTTAATAACCTGCGCCAAAGCGATTTATGTGAAATATTCAAAAAAAGAAGATCCTCCTATATCTAAAGATCTCCATTACAATCACAACTTCTCAGGCCTTTCCGGCAAGCTCGAAAAAATAACCTTGCCAGAAAGTTACAAAGAGTTGACATTAGTTACCTGAGTATGTAAAATATGATCGTCGTATGGCTTTTATTAAACCCAGAAGTCTCTGTCGAGACTGTAGCTCTACTGGTTTATACTTAAAACAAAGGAAGAGAAAAGTAGCAGTTGGGACTTGAGACTTTAAATCAGCAATAAATAGAAAAATGATCCTTGCCACTCATCAAAATAAAAAAAAACAATGCACAGAATTATGTATCTTAGTGTAGTCTACTTGTGTGCCAAGTTATACTGAAATCAGACCAAAACTGCAGGAGGAGTAGCATTTTGAAAGAATTTCACAGAAATTTCTATTTTTAGTAACCATGGCAACACCGTTCATCGAAATCAAAAGCCGATGCACAGAATTATGTATCTTAGTGTAGTCTATTTGTTTTCCAAGTTATATCAAAATCAGACCAAATCTGAAGGAGGAGTAGCATTTTAAAAGAATTTCACAGAAATTTCTATTTCTAGTAACCACGGCAACACCGTTTATCAAAATCAAAAACCGATGCACGGAATTATGTATCTTAGTGTAGTCTACTTGTGTGCCAAGTTATACTGAAATCGGACCAAATCTGTAGGAGGAGTAGCATTTTGAAAGAATATCACAGAAATTTCTATTTTTAGTAACCATGGCAACACCGTTCATCGAAATCAAAAACCGATGCACAGAATTATGTATCTTAGTGTAGTCTACTTGTGTGCCAAGTTATATTGAAATCGGATCAAAACTGTAGGAGGAGTAGCATTTTGAAAGCATTTCACAGAAATTTCTATTTTTAGTAACCATGGCAACATCGTTCATCAAAATCAGAAACCAATGCACAGAATTATGTATCTTAGTCTAGTCTACTTGTGTGCCAAGTTATATTGAAATCGGACCAAAACTGTAGGAGGAGTAGCATTTTGAAAGAATTTCACAGAATTTTCTATTTTTAGTAACCACGGCAACACCGTTCATCGAAATCAAAAACCGATGCACAGAATTATGTATCTTAGTGTAGTCTACTTGTGTGCCAAGTTATACTGAAATCGGACCAAAACTGTAGGAGGAGTAGCATTTTGAAAAAGTGTTTACAGACAGACAGACAGCTAGACAGACAGACAGACGGACGGACGACGGACGCATTACTATCGCATAAGCTCTTCTGGTCTCTGACCAGTAGAGCTAAAAATGAAATAAAAATTATTTAAAATCTTTTGGTGGATTACTTTCTATAAATGGAAAACAATGCTTATTTTAAACATCTGTAAAAAG